AAAAATATATTTATCATTTAAGAAATATTAAATCATAGAACGACAATTCATATAATAGTCTCATTTCAAATAAATACGTAAACCACATAACAAAAACGCACATTAAACCGTGTGAAATTTAAACATACCTGACATAAATTAGAATAAAGTGCTTTAATATGTTTTAGATTCTAAAAAGATTTTTAGTTATTTATTCTAATTTATCTCAAGTATGTTTAAATTTCACACGGTTTAATGTGCGTTTTTGTTTACGTATTTATTAGAAATGACTATTATATGAATTGTCATTCTATGATTTAATATTTCTTAAATGATATATATATATATATATATATATATATATATATTTTGTTGTAACTTTTTAGACTTGATAAGGACCCAAAACAAGGGTCGAAACGTTGTCCTTAATTTTATTATGATGTCTAACCAACAATAAAGATAATTTGTATGTCAGTTTGGGTCGTTTATAATTATTTGATTTATTATATAATTGAATTTATTAAAGACTAAAAAGGTTAATAATTATTTTATACATATATAGCAAACAATGTATTATCAATTAAAAATTAGAACAAAAAGAAAAATAATATCAAAAGAAAAGGAATCTATTTGTCCGATTAACGCGAATTATTAATCGGAAAAACGTTAATTTTTTTATGAATTTCTGATGAATAAATTTTGTGTTATTAGAGTTCACGATCACTATAAGTAAAAAGTTCTAATCCCTTGCCATTGCAATTTATAACTTTTTATGACATATAAGTATAAGGATTAAATAATAACGAAGATAATTAATTTATTGTTTTTTTGCAGGCGTAATGTTATGCGGCAATAAAAAACAAGGCCGCGCGTGTCGATTTAATTATCGAATATTTTTTGTATACTTTTTAATAATTGCAACAGAAAACGTTATCGTGCAAGACAATGCAAAAAAAGTTTAACTCACGTTTGACTGTAACGATTATCACTGAGGTCGTGAATATTGCAAAAACATAATATTTGATAAGAAATTTGCTTACTAGAAATACGTGTCATTTTGTAATATTTATCGGACATTAATCGCATAAGTTTGGACAATAGATGGGCTTGGATAATAATCTAATATTGCATACTATATATTTTCCATGATTATTCATTGATTGATATTTTATTTAAAAAGAACTTCTCAGCATAGATTAATTTTTAATTAGCCATTTTAATTGATTCTTATAAAAATAAATGTCATACGAATTGTTAGAAACTTCCGTACGTAACCGGTCATGCAGACACACTTTCTCTTAATTCTTTCGTAAGCAAATTCTTCGAAAGGATCTTTCTCATTGCACAATTTCAGATAATATTAGTATAAAATTTATTAAATGCTACTAATCACATGAATCTATAATCGTATTATACACAAACAACAATTCTTAACGTACATATCGGTAATTTTTTAGATACTTTTAGCCTGCTAACAATAAGTGTAAAATTTCGTTGTCCAAACGCACAGAACTGAATCTCATATTTTATAAGAATACAATTCAATCGCATATAATCGAGAAACGAAACGTTTATCATTCACCTCGCGTCAGCACGCGATCGAAGCGTGTATATTCTATATTTACATGGTGTACGATGTGTTTTTTCGGGTCGTGCTCGGGATCGTTTCGATTAATCCGACCAAGAGAATGTGTGTGAGGCTCGTGGCGTTTCCATTCGAATGGATTTGCATAAATATTGAATAACGAACAAACAGGGGTGCACTGTGCGTGGAGTCCGAAAGTAGAAACAAGCACGCAAACGTGTTTTTTTAATAACCCACGTAAAAAACCATGCATACACATGTTTGATATTTATTATTTTTATTTATTTACTAACAAAAGCAATCCTGCGTGAAAGATATCATCTAATTTTTCGCAATACAAGACATATGCCCCCAATATTTTTTGCGATCAGTGCATTAATACCACAAGTAAACAAATTGATTTTACAGAGGCAGAATAATCTCCTGCATATTTGCATACAATTACAACGTTATCGTGATTTGGTTAGTTTTTAAGTAATTAAATAGAGGCATTAGAGATTCGGTATGTTGACTAATATTGACATGTCAATTTACATAAAAATTGGCAATTACTGTTTATCAAGATCCATTCTCTAAAATATGCTTTGGATCAATTCTAAGACAATAAAGTGTCATCAACTTTCATACAGCTTCTCGTATGTCGCGATGCTTAAATTCGAAATTGGTATAATAAATCCGGAGAATTAATGTACCATTAAAATCGATTAAAAATTTTCATATCTGGCGATATTTTTTTAGAGCAAAATAGATTCTAATACAAACAAAAGTAATTGTCAATTTTCTTACACTTAACCGCAAGGATTCTTCCGTGAAGCATTAAATGCTTTTGAATCTCCAGGGAAATAGCGGTACTTCTACAAATAGAGATACTGTGCAGATTTCAGAGAATGAAAGATGTTGGGAAAAAAGAGAAAAGCATTGCAAAAAATCTGAAGCATTGAATTTATATTCCATATAAAATACAGGTTCTTTTTTAATTAATGTTTTTTATACGTATATTTTACTAACTTTCGCAGAGATTTACATTAATGCGATATTATTACATTCGTAGTTTTAATTTTGCTGTTTCAAAATATGAATGTTCATTCTCGGAGTAAAGTTCTGTTTAATTAGCATTTATTTAGGGAATGTTTTTGATGCTGACCATTAAACGTAAAAGCAATATATCTAACGTACAATTTAAAAAGTTCTCGATTGGAGCATATCGAATTCCTAGCGATTCGAGCTATTTATCATTTGATAAGAAAGATTATAGCCGGATAAGATGGTAAAAAATGCCTTTGCGCGAATAATATTTTCAAAATATTTGCAATATTTCTAAACTAAAAAAAATGTTAACGCGGTTTATAAGCCACTTTCTCTCTTTTACATACCAAAAAGACGTGTTTTTTGAATTTAATTTGTCTTGATGTTGTGTTAATGCTTATGAATTTTTGATATGAAAAAATATATTAATAAGACGAGAAATGTTTCTCTTTTACAAGAAAATTTTTTGAATTGTTTTACTAAATTTTAAAAAATTCGTAAAATTAAAAAATAATTTTCACAAGATTCTTATTGAGCTCTTTACTAGATGACCCCTTAATATTGATACCATCTTATATCCGGCTATATAACCTTTAGACTTTAGATAATCAATAACATTTTTTATCAAATGCAAGTCGAATCTCGTATGTTTAATTAACAGTCTTTCACATTAATTATTAATATTAAGAGAATGAATATATCAATAAGATCATATATTGCCTTCATAATTGTTAATATTATTTAATCAATATATACATATATATATATATTTTTTTTTCGAAAAAGATATCAAATCTGTCGATTTAATTAATGTGATGATTGCGACAACGCGGCAAAGCATTACTACGATCTCGCACCTTCATTTTCAGTGCGGTTAACGAATCAATGACAGTTCAACAACGTGCTGCTTAACGTAAGAGAGAAAGCGCCGAATGCTCGAGTCGTCAGTAGCGAGATTCGCGATGATTATAACGAAAGTAAATTTTTTTACCTAAAGCATAAAATTATATATGTATGTTATATATATATATATATATATATATATATTCTAGCTTTATATTGAATACGTTAATTAAATCGTTATATTATTCGGCGATTCCAGACGTCGAGCAAAAAAAAGAATTGAATATTTATAATTCGGCCATGTAATAGGTTTTTAAAAATATTTGCAGAATAAATCATACACACACATACACACACACATATATATATATATATACATATATATATAAATAAGAATTATTTTTTATTTCTAATTCTTTTTGCATTTGATCATAAATATATGATTATGTGTACAATCATGCTATAAACACGCGAAGTAAGAAAAAAGGGAATAATATAGAATACACATTTTCGAAGTAATCACTTCGTTTTGCATCTTTATGTCGTAACAACCACAATTATTCAGAAAACGTAGGAAAGATTGTGTCTGCATCACTTATCCTTGAGAGAAACATTAACTCTGCGGGTCTGCTTTGCGTAATGTAATGATTATTAGTAATTATTTTTAGATTATTCAAAACAGATAATAAATACAGGTAAATTATTTTTGGATTAATATGAGATAAATACATAGAATAAGAAATAAGATCAAATCAAATAAAAAAAATAACATGTATTATTTATAAAATTTAAAAAATATATAATTTTTTTATGTATTTTAATTTACATGTTAAACATATGCATGTTAATTATTTTTATATTTTTAATATCAGTATTAATATGAATATTTTAAATATAAATATTACAATATATTATTGCATACTGAAATATAACACTACAAAGGATTAGCATAAATTATTCGAGAAAAATTTGAATATGAAGAAATAAATTCACTCTCGATGCTTTTACATTCAAATTTTATTTTGTACGTCAAGGTTTGGCTGACAATAAATCTCGAATCTTTTCACAATTCTTCATAATGTTTACATTAAAGAGTAACCGAGCAATAGATTGATCGCGATTAAATAGAGACCCGCGTTTAAACGAATTATTAGAAATGAATGTTACAAAATCGGCAATTTTTCATCCGAAAAAGAAAGAATAGACAATGTTGGCGTGTATGTGTGCAGAATAATAAATTAAACGCCGGTCTTCGGCGACGAGCGTTGTCTATAAGATAATGCGGAGTCTTACGGCGAAAACGAGGTCACATTCCTGAAATTCCGACGGATCTGACAGTTGAGAGAAAAAGTGGTCTTTCCCGTTTCGGGCGCGCGTTCCGGGTATCATATTTCTGCATTCGTTCTCGGGTTTTTCTCATCGGACGCGGATCGATCGCGGGTGCGTCACTTAACCTCAAAATGCCTGCATTGGATGCCGGCAACACGCGCGCGTGCACGAAAGATCACGCGACTCTCCCCCAAAGTGCACACGTATATACGGGTTGTCGCACACGGGTTACACCCACCTGCTCGGTATCCTTCCGTTCACCTTCTCGCGAGGTTCTTCCCTGTCCTCCACGTCCCGCGTTCGGTCCTTCGTTCTCGTGCACCACGTAGCCGGCGGCGGCTCGTCGACGACTATATAATCTCGCGGTAGAAACGGCGACCGAGGTAGCAATTCCACACGGTCGTCGTCGTCGTCTCTCCTCCTGTCACCTGACCGCGCACATAAACGCGCGGCACGCGACGCACCACCTTCCGCGCTCGAGAACAGCAAGCGCGGAGGCAACAACCTCGACGGTTCTTCTTGTTCTTCCGTGATCGTCGTTACTTCCCTTCGCGTGATGAAGTACGCCGCGAAACGTAATGCGAGCGATCCGCGAGAGGCGTGTGCGCTGTCACTTTGTACCGTCGTGCCTCCACGAACTCGAATAAGGACTGACCCGCGTCGATCGCGAATTTTATCGTCACCGTCAAGCGGCGGAGGCGGCAGCGGCGGTGGATGTGAAAAAAAAAAAAAAAAAAAGAGAGGGACAGAGAGAGAGAGAGAAAAAAAATGAGAGTCCGATATCTCGCACACGCGGTCTCGTCGCGCTCGAGCGATGACGGTCCACGCCTTTTAGCACCGACGCTCCGCTGCCGCCGTCCGCTACCGTTCGTCCACTGCCGCCGACGAGTTTCTCGTCTGTGCCGCCGCTCGCTCGCCCACCGGCCGAACGTAGTCGATCCGTCCTCCCTTGCCTCCCCGACCACTAACCCGAAAACATGTCCCTCGCGCACCACTTCGTACGTTGCCGTCCACTACGTCGCCCCACACGCACACGAGGTCCGTAACGCGCAAGATCCCGTCGTGCTCTCCCGTCACGTCACCTGTCACGCGCAGCTTCCGCACCGGCTCGTCTTCGTCTTCTCGTCGCGATTTTTTTTTATGTCTTTCTCGTTTTTCTCTCTAACGAAATTACGCGCGATGTACGCTCAAGAAGAGCTTATTTTCTTGTATAATCATTGGATCGGATTGCTAATCTCTGAACAGAAACGAAGGAAACCGGCGATAACTGGAGGGCGCGACGGAAATAAGCACGAGTAGACGAGACGCACGAAGCCGGCGAGGACGCTTTGCAAATGAGGCGCCATCCTGCGGTGCGTGGTTTAATCTTCGAAAATTTAGCGCGATGATGAACGCGTGTGAAATTTGCCTAAGTCTAGGAGATCGCGAACGTGCGTGCCTTTTTTGTTGTTTTTTTTATATTTAATCATTAATTTGTAATAATTTATACGTATCATTCTTCATTTATTTATTAAGTCTCTTATTTACGATCGTTTCTTGCTTGAAATTATCTCATTCCTGTAAAAAACAATTAATCATTCCTAGAAAAAGAAGGCTAGCTAATCTAAAACATATTTTATTGTAAGTGTAACTGTAAATAGAATCAATTGTGTAATATTTTTATATCTAGCGGCATTTTATACAGTTATACAACGGACGTAATTTCAGGTTCTTTAAAACGTAAACGTAAAAGTTTTTCAATATATATATATATTTTAAATATACATATAATATCTTATTTTAATTTTTATTATGTTAATCTTTACATCTAAGCAAAATGTTCCGATATTCAATTATGTTTATTAATTCAGTATCGATCTTTGCTTTATTTTTTTTCCGATGTTCCGATATTCAATTATGTTTATTAATTCAGTATCGATCTTTGCTTTATTTTTTTTCAAAAAGAGAAGAATCTAATATTGATTCGTATAAAATAAATATATGTATATATGTTCTCTGTAGAAGAATATTTTCGTATGATAATATAATTTTTTATTATATGTTCTATGTTACATTACATTGTAGTGCATATTACACTGTATATTAACATTGCAATTCATTTCTACACCATATTGTAATTCATAAAAGTCTTAATCGAAGGGTACATTAAGAAAAATAAATAAGGAAGTACATAACAGAGCTCATGTCACACATTACATTACATTTATAGATTAAACAAAGTCGCATTCTTTCTCTTTTTCTCCCTCGTTCAATTATTATGTCAAAGTATTACGCGCGTTACATATATTATATATATATTTCACAGATATATCCATTCTTTCTTTATCATCAATATAATTTGCCGAATATCGAAACATACATATATATATATATATATATATATATATATATATCTATTTGTCGAAAGTTGGGTCAACTAAAATGAAATTAATATTTGTCAAGATTTCGTAAGAGTCTCTCTTATTGCCCAAGAATATCTAACATTTTATTTAATTAAGAATTGGATTAAGGATTAGAAAATTTTATTTCATTAAGATTTCGTAAGAGTCTCTCTCTCTTATCGTACTCTCCAAGAATATCTAAAATTTTTATTAATTAAGAATCAGGTAAATAAATTTATACCCTGATGTGTCGTACAGTCTACATATATCATATCTTACTAATACATTATTTATAATATATTATGAACTGTACTTATATATTCATGCAGTTATACAATTATTCAACAGTGTTACGAGACATCTCATGAATTTAAAGTTTTAATTTAAATCACACTTTGCATATATATTGTTTATATATATTTTTAAGTGATTAAATTTGATATTAGATCTCAGACTTGGTCTGTTCCAAAATTTTCGGAAAATTTTTGACGCGTAGAAATACATCAAAAGTGCAAGTTTTTTTTCTTGCATAATTAAATAAAACAAATATAATTAATTAAAAATCTAAGGCCAGTTAATGATAAAATGATTAAAACAATGTGCTGGAAATATCTGTCGAATTGAATCGTACGAGTCTCACATTAGGCTCTTTAGCTTAGCATTTCCTCACCTATTCCCGTAACTATCATGCAAGTTCGTCGCGTCAAGTTCGCCACGAGCAGATTGGGAGAAGAAAGTATGAGTAAGTGGACCGGAATGAGCGCACGATTCCGGCTACTTCGAAAAGAGCGGTCCCGCTGGTTCCTACATAACAGTCTCCGTATGCGAGCTTGTTACGCAAACTGCGATGTATGCCGGTGTGTGTCGATTATAGAGACCATTGGCGAAAGCGATCTTTTACTGCGATCCCTTATGAACAGCCGTGGGATGTTGGTCGTAGATTATTTCCATAGAATCTTCTAGTCGACCTAGAAATTCCTAACATCCGGCGAATATCTTTTGTGGTTACGAAACTTGAATCTAAAACACGGACGCAGATGAAATAAAAAATAGCAGAAGTATATGTGCAAGTTTATACATTTTTGTGTACACATATTGGACGATTTTTACAAATAAACTTGCACGTATACTTTTCTGCTGTTTATTCTTATTTTATTTTTCGCAGCTCAGCGGTCAATTTCCGAAATCAGAAATCTTTGAAATTATACCATTATATTACGTATTTAAAATTGAATCTAATTGAATATATAATATAGATATGAAAGAACGTGACTTCTCTTTATCATTTTCTCGTACTTTTATTTTAATATGTTCGGTTATATATTTCTTATTTATTTTGTTTTGATATTTCAGAACACTTTGCAAACTTGACTTACAATCGTGACACATGTTGATTCTGACAGTAATTATACGTGGTAACATTTGCTGAGATCTTGCGCATATTATAAAAATTAACGTGAATGACATGTGCGTCATTTCATTGAATTGTGAATGTCACATAGCGATAAGTGTACCTTGTACTGTCAATATTTTCGATCGATGCTGTCGCGAATAATAAAATTTTCCATAATTCTAAGAATTAGCAGCATAAAATTATGATATACCGATATATCTCTTTTTATTATTAATTTCTCTATAAACGAGAAACATTTGAAAATAGGGGCGTTAGAGTGGATATGTATAGAATGCAAAAAAAAATTTATATATATATATAAATTAAGATATTGTATATTAAATCTGGAATATATAAAAATGTAATTCTTGTGCATAATTTCATCATAAGGATATTATATCTCAGTACACTCAAATTCAACTTTTTGCATGCATAAAAATTTATTCTATTCATATATAATAGTATTTACGTGACCAATAATGAGATGCTTAAATGATGAATGATCTTGACACATGCTGGACACAAGTACGTTTTTTTAAAATTAGTGCTAATGCTATTTGAATGACATCTATATGAGGAGTTTATTAATTGTTCTTTGCATTTTTTAAGGACTTGTTGAAGTGGTTAAGTCTAATTTTTAGGATTTTTTGATGGTCGAGATGGACAAGTGATATTTATGTTTATCATAATATATGCATTGTACGCAGGCTAAAGTAGAGGAGAATAAAAAATTATAAATTAAATTAATTAAAATAATTTTCAATATTTATATTGGATGATTCTTTATATTTAATTTTTATATTAAATAGAATATGCATAATTCTTGTGTGTGAAAGTGTTACAATACTTAAGTAAATGCTACTTCTTGTAATTTTTTTAAACCAGTTTGTAACAACCGGAGATAATGAATAAGGATACATTTTGGCATATTGTTATTTTGACACTTGTGGTATTACATTATTTAACGTAAAACATATATTATACTGATTATTCATAGATATTTGTAATTAAAATTTTCAATTTAGATCAAACAGTTTGCTTATTGTTTTGAAATATACTATTTGTCCGAGCTTTAAATGTGAAACAGTTAGACAAATCGTAATTATTCAAATCTACTTTTAAACCCTGGTTCAATTTTCTATCACAATTTCAGAAACTAGCAAATGCGCAATCACGTCAGCGCGATGTCATGCATTCACTTTATACTTCTCGGGCGGACATGACATTGCTTGATGCTTGACGTTTGCATTAGCTCTTTACGTAACAGCATTCATCTTTTTCTGAGCGTTTTTCTATTCGCTGCATAATTCGTCTGATGTGTTAATTTTCCATGGAAGAAATAACCTTCGAACCTTTCCTCAGTTTTTATACGCATTTTTTATGCGCAAATAATCGAACGCAAATTAAAAACAATATTGAGAGAAGAACAAAAGAGGTGCAAAAAGCTGATACATTATCTGAAAATTAATTTCTTGTCTACGTTTTATTTTTTACAATATTACCATATATATATATATATATATATATATATATAGAATTATGTCTATGATTATTACCTTATTAATCGCATAAAAGAACTTATGAATTATAAACAGATAATATTGAGAAGTCAGAAGATAATGACGTTTTTTTCATATTTAATATCTGTTATATATTATTATGATGAATAATGATTTTGATAATTTGAAAATAAGAAGCAAAAATGAACAAATTGGATAAAATATATTTTTATATTTTCGGAAAAGAATATACACAATTTATCTAAAAAACGATTTGTTTTTTTCATATTCTTTCTTTAGCAAGAAATAATATTGTAAAAATATGTATTTGTATATTTTGAGTGTAGGGGGAAAATATATAGTAAACTTACAATTAGGTAATAATGAAAGTGATATTAAACGGTCTTTTGCCTCATATTTTTCTTATGCAAGAATATAAATATATATAAAGGAAAGCAAGTGTTATTAAAAACATTTCATGGTACAAAATACTATTTTATAGCTGATGTTTCAAATGTGCAAAGAGAATATTTTTCTCCGAGTTTTATGAGCGATAATGTATTGATTTGTATTTATACAGATAGCTAAAATGTGTGCTATATTTTCATCATTTTCCACTATCGTTTTTATTTTCAGTATTTCCGCTAAATATATACATATATATAAATTTTAACAGATGTATTTATATACGAATATTTTCTAATCATTTTTTTACTTTATCAAAGACGCGGCAGTCATAAAAATGCATTCCATTAAACAGAAGAAATTAAAATTATAACTGCCGTTAATAGATAGAATTTAATAAATATCAATTAAAATATAAAATTAAAATAGATATTAATTTAATTTTTAGATTCAATACACAGCATTTATTTATTCATTTATTTTTGCCAATAGAAAACATTTAAATAAAAAAATGTAATCGTTAAGAAGGCTGATATTTGATATATCAAGCTTAATTTCACTCAATTTGAAATTCAACTTATATATTTCATCATAATGCTCTAGTCTTATAAAAATATTACATAATCGTAGAATGATTTAACGATGTACTTTCACTGGAATCGCATAATGAAACCGCGCGCTTTTTTCGAGCTGCGCGCACAGCATCGATTTATTGTGCGTCGGCATTAAAACGCGGGAAAAAGTCGGTCTGGAGATGAGAGAGATGCATCTCACATCTATACATACTATGAATGCATATGAGTTATTTATGCGTATGGAACGCGACCGGTTATATGCAAGCTCAGTACTCGATGGCTATTTTATATCGCGTCTCGGGAGACTTTCACCGTTTGTATACTTTCACCATTGAAAATTAGCACCGGCTCTTTCGCCCATTCTCAGGAAAGGCGCGCGCGATTAGGCCGTCCCTGTTTCGAGCTGAATGGAATTTTGGTACAGGATATATTTCGCTCGTTTACAACGAGCTCTCAGAATCTGATATCTATTTACCATTTCAATTTAAAATCTTTTATAGTGTACGATTACGCATATAAAATCTTCAAATTTTTTTCTGTATAACTATAATAGATCATATCGAATTGATTTTGTTATCATTTTTATAATTTTAAATAAATTATAATAAATTTTTATAATTACCAACATGTATCACATTGGGTTATCAAGAATAATAATTATAGGAGTTATATATTTTTATTTGATTTATTAATTGATATTCTTTAGTAAGAATTTCTTTTATACATTAAGAATTATAATTATTAAAGATAAGGATAAATTATTATTACATTACTATTAAATTAAATTTACTATATTTATAATTCAATTAATTGACTTTTGTTTGTTAATTGTATTATAAAATTTCCTTACACCATTAATTTAAAATACAAAGAGATACGTTTTTCTAAAATTTTAAGTAATAAATGCAGCAGAAATTAAATATTACATAATATAGCTTGCACTAGAGTTCTTTAAGATTTGTTTATTAAAAATAATTGTTACTTATTACAAAAAGATCTTTGATTGTTAATTAACAATAAGAAATATACTATTTTGTCTTTATGAAATAGTTTTTGTATAAATATTAAAGTTAGAATAATAATATCGATATATTTTCTTTAATATTTATCAATCGATCTATCAATCGATCAATTTCATCTACAGATGGTTGAAAAGGAATCTCTGCAGAAATATCAACAGTAGTATTTGATTTCTGAAAAAATATTACCTAAAAAGTACTCGCATTAAATACACGTGGCGCATAAATAAGATACGCGCTATTTTCTCATAGATTAAATTAAATTTGATCTAATTATGTATTAGAATACTAAACGTGCAATAAGGAAATGCGAAAATATGAATTAATATGTATATATATATATATATATATATATATATATTATATATTAATTTTTTTAATATTTCTTACATAATATACATTATTTTTTTGGTACTATTTATTATTTATATAAAAAGGACAAAATTCCAAAAGTATATTGGTAAAGTTTCAAGAATCGTTATTCAATGTTTCTGCGATCTCGAAAAAGTATCATCTCTTTACAATCTTGGGAAGAACATAACGCAAGTGTCAGCGGCGAATCGATCGACTGATTGAAACTCTAAAATTCCTACAATACTAATTACTATACTACTTATAATACTATATACTATTTACTATTTAAAATTAATATATTTGACAAATTATAATAGGACTTCTTTATTGTGTAGATAAAGATGATAAAACATGTTTAAATCATACAATTTAATTGCTTTAAAATAATAATAAATATATTTTTTGTAATCGTATATAAATACACAGATCTTTATATCTTTTTTATTTATAATTAATGAAACTTCTGTTTTTTTTTACAAATAGGGGTTTTATGTTACGTAACATTCAGCTTTCAAATATTTTGGGGAAACGATTTATATTGACAAGCAATTATAATTTTGCTTATTAATATTTTAACATATATAAAAAATATTTCTTTATTCATTTAATACGAAACATAAAATATTGGTATATTATTACATTATTTTAAAAATAATAAATTTGCATGATTAATCTTACAGGAGAACTTTATCTTACACGAGAAAGTTTAACATAAAAGTATTTTAATTTGTTTTATAATAATTTAGAAAAATATGCAGCATATATGTAATGATGTGCTTATTTTATATATATAATAATTTCATAAATTTTCTGGAAAACAAATATCTTCTTAATTAAAAATATAGCAATATAAATAAAAATAATAATTCGATCTTTATTAGTTAAAAATAAAACAATAAAATATAATTAATTAGTGCAAGCTCTTTGTCAAAGAATATTTTATTATTATTATTTGTTATTAACTTGCAATTAAAATTCATCACAGATCTAATGCAGACTGAAAATTCTTTTGAAATGTCAAGAAATAAACATGATCGTATAATCGACAAGAAATTTAGAACGCTCTTGGGGGTAAAAGTATAATATATAATATATAAAATAGTATATATAAAATTGATAGAAGACTCGATACGCTTTGATTCGCTTCCTACTGAGGAAAACAATATTTTGTTTATTTTGTCAATTTCGTTAGCGATTTGTCCAATCTGTTTCCACTTCTCGCGATACACTAGCGAACACATAAAAACACACGCATTCATTTATATACATTCATATACAACACAAAAAGCACACGAAACAATTCTTTATACAAGATTCCGCCTCGAAACACTCAGAGAGAATGTTACCAAGTTCAGACTTCCAAAAATTACGTTCAACGCGCTCTTCTTTTTTCTCTTTTTCATTTCTTTATAAATATGTTTTTAGTCTGTTTTCTCAACTGTTTTTATATTATATTCGATCACGGTACCAGAGGATAGCAACTGGCGGAGCGTTCTATGTACGATAATCCATAGTTGAATGTACATTTGATGTGCAATTAAAGTCTCTTTTAATGTCAACTTGTCGTCATTCATTAAAACCTCGATTGTCGATGAACACGCGGTTCCTAAGACCACTATCCGAAATGTAACCGGTAGCCATTTTATATTGATTCGCATATATCACGCCGTTTTCGGTCTCCTTGTTGTCATCTTGAACACACTGCGTATTTTGCTCCTTATCGTACTTAAGAACCTTTTGCTTGCTCGATGCATTTTTCGAATCCTTTTTCTTATACGCTTCCTGGTAGAAGCCGCGGAAAAGGAAGTAAAACATCACGGCATGCATGCCGATCCACCACACAAAGGCCCTCGGGTAATCGCACTCGATGAAGAGTAGCTGGAATGCATGGACCATCACGAGAATGAACTGGACCATTTGCAGGGTTGTCAGATATTTCTTCCACCATAAATATGGTTGTATTTGCGGGCCAAGTGCCGCCAGAAGATAATACGAGTACATTACGATGTGTACGAAGGTATTCAGGAAACCGAAGAAGGTGCTGTGACCACCTAAAAAACATTGATGAATATTAAAATCAATTTAAATATATTTAAATAAATTTTACTGAGAAAGAGATTAATTTTTTCTATATTAGAGCATTTTAAGAGAATAGACTCTTCTTGAATTTCAAGATAATTGATCGTGTTCTTAATCAAAAATATCGAATACTTACCGGGAGTGAATTTAACTCCAAACCAAACAGACATAGGCATACAACCATGATGAATAACGTGAAGAGTACTAATGTGGTCATTCTTCTTCCTTAATACAAAAAAGACCGTGTCCGTTAATTCGACGAACTTGGAGATGTAGTACCACCAACAACCCCGCGCCATTCGCAATGCTTGTGGATTGTCCGAGTAATCAACCGGTTGACACCTGAGGGAGTAATTTCCACCCCAGCCAACCAAACTCTGTGAAAGGAAGAATCCAAAATACAGAATATCTCGACAAGTTTTCTTTATACTCGATAATGTGTACGAAACTCACTTCGTTGAATAACCACGTCGAGAATATTACTTGAAAGAGGTTGTACCAGATCATCACTTTTCTGAGGTCGAAAGGTTTTCGATTCTCCATCAGCTTCGGTCCCAGGACCTTAACGAAATAGGCGTAAAATAGGCAAATTGCTAACGTAGGAAACGGGCTGCTCATCATAGTCCAATCATTGACTCTCGGATCGCTCTTGTTGTCCATCAAGTCTCGATAGCCATCGTATATTATTTGTATTAACTGCGCCATCTAAAATTAAAGTGATACTTTTGTCATTTTTATGTTATTTCAATTATCATTTTAATCATTTGTTTCAACCACATATAGCTATACGTAGCAATTTAATTTAGTTATTCAAACTGATATTTCGAGCGAAAGTAGACAAAGAAATGTAGAAAAAGAAATATTAATATAGTTCAATAATCTCTCTATTGATATTATTATGCAAGATGCTTAATAAGACCGTCCAGTATTATCGTTCATGATATAAATGACTATGTTTATTACTTGAGCAATATGGCTTAAGTATATGTTTTAAGTGCACGCATATATAGTTGTTACAAAACTAGGAACTAAAAGTTGACAAATCATGATTTTTTATATTACATAATGAGCGTCATTGATGAGAAGATGATTTAGTTTAATGTTTATTACGTTGACAGATTGTGAACATAAGTGAGTAGAACAACTTGTAGATTATATTATTTCGATCAATCGATATCGACGAAAATTCAGCAATTAATACAAGGATTTAAATTAAAGTAATAAGTACACACTCTTAAATTTTATAATAAGAGTTGTAATAAGTCTTGCTTTTGATTCGAATTATGTAATATAAAAAAAATATTAAAATATTTTTTCAGACGATTTAAACGTAGATTTTTCTTCTAAACTCGATTAATTAACAATCGATAATATTGACAGGCCTAAAATTTCGATTTTACTCTTCTAAATAAATAGAATGATATATTAGCCATACATAAAATAGCAATTCTAATAATATATTATCTAACATATCGTCGTATCGCGTGCGTGCTACACGCGACTTTTATTTTTACGTTTTTTTTTTACCTCGACAAACCGCGAAGTACGCAACGAAACGGTTTCTGCACCTCGACGAACTCTCGACCTCGGCCTCGTTGGATCGTAAGGCACGTGACTTGATCTCGATCTGCGGTAGAGTTGACGCGAACGATTGACGAGGATTTACGAATCGCGACTCTCCGGTTATGAATTAGAACTCAGTCCTTTTACCGATTAAAACGAGTCGGAAATGCATCGATGATATGTTTTTCCACATTGTTTTACAATACATGCAAGAAAAAGTACACCTTCTCGCGGCGCGGTTTTTACTTTGAGTATGCATTTTTTCTTTTTTTTTCGAATATAATAATATAAGACAATATTGTATTTCATGTGACTCTTTTTGTAAATTATCGCAAGGATAGATTTTGTAAAACGTGACTCTTTCAATTTCTCGAGCAAAGAGTTTTACAACTTGCATGGAACATACGTGACTCTCTTTTATTTCTGTAGTTAAAAAGTTTTCATAATAAATAAAAGTTAATAAACTTTGCCGTGTGTATGCCGAAGTAAATTAATATCATGTTGAAGATAAATAATAAATTTACGGAGTAAAGTATGAGATTTATGGTGCTGAAATTATTAAACATTATGCTACATGTTATGTAATTAAAAAATCAGACATTACAAAGTGCATTTTATGATTAGTTTATCGATGACTAGTAGATTTTGCAATATTAAAATTATTATTGTAATTTTATTCTTTCAACATTATAATATATTCTGAGAAAAAACGCGAAAAAATGTGAAAAAATGTATCTGCAATTATAAGTGATTTTATCTCGCATTTTAATATTGTTCAGTATTTTGTAGCGACACCTTCAACGCATTAAAAATATGTCAATATTTGATTTTTCTACGATAAAAACGCTGATTAAACTTATATTTTTTTATAGTGACGCGCAACATGTGAATAGTATTTGATTTACGATTTAACACTATTCTCGAAGCTGTATATTAAATAGATGTTTTACTAATTATAAATTTTTTAAACAAGTTTAAATAGATCTCTTTTCAACGAGAATGCTGGAAGATCAATAAGTTTTAAACAATAGGCGCTTGAGAATGAAAGCATAATATGACAAAATAATTATATTTTTTAAATTAATTTTATATGAATTAAATTGAATTTATTTATTGGAGATTTGGTTATAAAAATTTGAATATAAAAAAATCGATAGATTTAATAAGAAAACATTTTATTTCTATTGAGCTGTATATGATATAATAGTGCTAAAATAAGAAATATTTTTCAAATTGCTGGTCATATTATAAGGTAAAACGCTAGAAACTTATTGTTCATTGAGAAATATTATATGCTTTTGTGATTTTATTATATAAAATCTAGTAGCAGAAAGTTTAACAGGAAAATATAAACAATATGAAAATATGAAAAATTATGAAAATAATTAAACAAACAATGACAAACGTTGGTGGATTAGAAGCTAATTTTTTTCATGATCTATTAATTCACAATGACACTTATGTAGGCATTCACAAGTGCACATTTATCGGAACCTGTCGGTTCAGTGTGTTCCCCTTCTCTCTCTCGATCGTTTCATCAATTCAATATCTTTTCTTGGATTCAGAGAGTTCCTAGGTTTTTAAAAGATAAAAAAATCGTGCGTTTTTCTCAGATTTAGAGAGTTCCTGGGTTTTTAAAAGATAAAAATCGTGCGTTCTTCTCCGCGTCTTCCGTCAGGGATTTCGTGATTTGGCTGTCACGAAAATGAAACTCATTACTCTGCGAGAAGCCGACAAACGTGTGCTAAATCAGCGCGGCTTACTCGCGGGATTTCGCAATCCGCACATTCGCCGCGGAAAGGAAAAGTTAAGCCGTCTCACTAAAGACACTATATGTAGCTAAAGAACTCGTTCTGCCGCGAAAAAATGCGGTCCCTCGCATGCGTCCTGGATTCGTAGTCGCACGGTACTCGTCTTGTAATCCTGTTTGCGCCTCCGCTCCGCCGCGTCTCGACATCGCTTGCACCTGCAGCGACTGTTGCGGTTAATGCCAAACGAATGTTTTGAAAGATGCGCAATACCTAATCATAGGTGTCGACATTTAATTTGCATTATTGGACGACGAAAAGCTTATTATAGCCAAGGGTCTTCGGTGCATTCAAGTGGATATATCTCTGTGGTCGAATGGATCTTTCTTAATAGAATCTTATCTACGTGCATGTACATGTGTTACCTATATTTTTCTTTTTCTTTCTTTCTTTTTGTATCTGAGAAAATTGTATTATGAGATGTACAAACTGCGCACAGTGACATGCATCAAAGCAATTAGACGCTATAAAAATTTGTATAATCATGTCCTGCAGATGTAGAGCGACATTCTTGCAACTATTGTGCAATATCTCACTTTCTTCGATACTTTCTTCTGTAATACCAACGAATTTTCTTGATTATAGGTTGCCCTTAGGTTGTATAAGTAATCAGCAAATCACTAAAAAGTAGTATAAGAAATGGTACCGTTTGCTATTGGTAGCAACTCACTCGCAATAATACTTTGATTCGCAAAACGCTTCGGAAAGATTTCTCGTGATCGACGGTCTAAACGTTATGCGGCTCATTTTCTGGCAATTATTCCGTGAAACCGTTTGTCGAACAATCTTTATTTTTTGACGCGACGGAACGAACACGTAATAGAATTCGTAAACACACTTCGAGGCACGATCATAAATCAAGTTAAAAATACGATAATCACGTCGCGGAATTTCCGCGACACCTTTAATGTAGCCGTATTATTTTTGTACGTACGAGTGTACACGCGCGACAAGATTTCTTTCCCCATTCATATGTATATCTGAAGAGTTTACCTGCGCGCGATTACACGCGCGGACTCTGATCTCATAAAATTCAAATTGTTTCTTAATATGCGTTTTTCGAATGATAATTATCACGCGTACTTCAACGAACATACAAGGAAAAATAATATGGGGAAACGGATTTGCAATGTAAACAGTAATGTTGCGCGCTTGCCTCGTGACGTAATTTCAATTGTCGCGACATTAAAAACTTGCTTGGAGAATCAGGTGCATTCTGCCGTATTTATCTTAGAACGAAAGTGTACCGCGACGTTTTTGCTCCATTAAAATATGCGTCTTCGATAAATGTTACAGTGCACGTAGCACATTTCTCATTCTCATCTTAACCCCCTTTTTGTTACGCGTTTTTATGTTCCGACCAAAGGAATTCGCTCACGACCTCTCAAGGTATGAAGCAAAATATTTTCTTAAGCGTGGTATGTGTTGGAAAATAAAACGGAAAGAGACTATGAAGGACGAATGATAGTTGGCTACACAAGTACACAATCCTTTCTAGATCGTTACATACATTGCTATAGGGAGAGCTCTCTGTTACATATATCGGTATTTCAACATCTAATAGTATATGCGATATAAAATAATATAATACAGTTAAAATAGAAATTTATATATTTATATGTTTATGGAGAATGCGTGTGTGTTTCTATAATATGAACATTTATTTTATATACATTATAAATATATCGAAAATATTTGAAATTTTCTGGAGATAATAGACGTCTTTCCTATTTCTTCAACAGAGTATATTTGTTCAATTTTGAGAAAATAATAATTGATTAAAATTGACTAGTTTTTCAAATATACACGATGGTTGTTGATTTAAAAATTAATATGAGCCATAGAATAAAACATTTTTTTTACATTAGTAATTTTACTGCTGTCGAATCAACATCTTGAAAGTTGAAACGGACCCGTACCTAAGGTCGAAACGTAGTGTTTCTAATTAAATTGTACTGGCCAGTTAAGTCGAAATTTCAATAAATTTGTATATATGGTTTTACTCATCACTGGCGACTTTATTAATTTTATCGTTATTTAAATTATGTTTTGGAAAAAGATGATATGAACTAAAATCTCTATGACGCATTCTATAATGACTCTCTGAATGATCATTAGTTCACACTTCATATGTATTCAACAATTTCTGTCAAGGTGGACCTTATTTGAATGCAAAACATACTTATCTGGAGGTTAAATGTAAAACATATATACTTATCTAGGAATATAAAACTATGAGAATTTAAAGAGTTATTAAGTATGTTTATATTACTGCTAAATAGAATACTATTATTAAATAAAACAAAAACAAATATATATTTTTTTAGAAAATTTGAAATATCAAGATTTTACGAAAAATGCTGAATTCTGCGAAATAAAAAAATGATTTAAACAATTAATCTGTAATTATTAGTAAATGCAATTAATTTATCGATCAATAATTTATTAACATGTATTATTGTTTTAAAAATTTCGTTTCTTTTTACAAATTGATTATTTCTCTTAATCTTAAAAAAGAAACAAAACGTTTAAAAAGATATGTCAATCAATTATTGATGAATAAATTAATTGCATTTGCGATTAACAATTACAGATTAATTGTCTAAATAATTTTTTAATTTTTTACACGCACACATACTCACTAACTATCAGAACATATTTATCTGCTATCTGTTTAGCGTTATCAATATTAAAACTTATCAATTCAATAATGATAAAATTGGCAAAATTAAGAGGGACAAAGAGTTTTTAATGTTTTATTAAAATTATCCCCTTTTTGTAGATTTTTTAAAATTATCCTTTTTTTTTTAAATTAGTATTCTTTTTTTATATATAACTTAATGACCTAATCTTCATCATCGTACGCGCGCGTATTCTTTAATCATCTGTAAAAGAATTTTAGATGTCATACTTTGTGTGTGTGTGTGTGTGTGTGTGTGTGTGTGTGTGTGTGTGTGTGTGATTTTAGATAACATTATGATTGAAACATATTCATATATGTAATAACTGTCATATGTACAAATATTTTTCTTTGATAAATATATAGAGTAAACACCGAACAATAATACACGAAAAAAAAAATTATTTGACTGAACAAAATCTGTGGTCGAATACGTGCAAATAAATGTCAATGTAATAAGAACTAAATATTTTGTTTAAAATTATAATTAATCAAAATATTTAGTTCTTATTACATTGACATTTATTTGCACGTATTCGACCGCAGATTTTGTTAAGTCAAATAATTTTTTTCAGTGTATTAATATTTTTAAGATAATACTGATGAATTGTTACTGATACAAAATTCCCTGTGTCTACAACTTGACGGAGAATTAAGTTTGTCTATACGTCTGCGACATTGAAATTATTTATTACTATAATTTAATTATTATAATTAATAATATCAATTATTATAAAGATAATTGTCGAAAAATGCTCAAAACAATAATTAATTAATTGATGTTTTACGCGATAAAAAACAAATAAATTATTAATATTTATTAAATACTTATTAATATTTAGATATAAATAAATAAGAGACAGAGTTCTATAGCTTTTAATCTTATTAAGATATTTCTTTACACTTTACACTTACACAAATTATTACTACTTACTTTTTTTATTATGAATAATGCTCTAAATAGAGAGAATATAAATATAAGTTTTTTTTTTTAAGAAAACTTGAAACAAAATTATTTCAAGTTTTCAAAAATTCAAATTAATGATATTTAAACTTCGAATTATATGCAAATGCCACATTTGTTACTTTTTATGCATATTCTACAAAAACAATAATAATGTGAACAAATTATAACGTTTTTAATTAATTAACAATAATTAGTTAAAAATATTATATATATAATTTGTTTACATTATTAATACTCTCGTAGAATGGCCTGGTTTCACCAACGCGAGTTAATCTAATCGGTCGAGTAAACTATATCTTTGTCTCTTTTTAAGAACGTATCTGAAAAGAGACAAAGATATAGTTTAATGGACCAATTAGATTAACTCGCGTTGGTGAAACCGGGCCTAAGCAAAAAGTAACAAATACATAATTTGCATACAATCCGAAGAACAATCTAATGATAATCTTCGATGCATTTTTTGCAAAAAAATCGACGTATTTCTTTATTTAATTTGTCTCTTTTGTTTATTGTTGTATACATATATGAATAAAATACGTCACAGTATCGCGCGGCGCTTATCTTTATCACATAGAGATCAATTCTCGCATGACTGTTATTTGACATTCAACATAAATGACGTATTTCCTGAGTATAATTTATTTTGCCTGTTTGCGTACAATTCAAGTACAATAGACGATGATTCGATAAGTAATTTTTCACATGGTGCAATGTGTAGGTGTTTATTTGTTAATATTTACTCAGTATTGTATTAATATTTTATTAAATAAATCCAAGTGAATACTATTCGTAAATAAAGATAAAATAGATATTATAATAATCATACATGAGAGTTACATATAAGTCAAAAGGATGCAGTACACTTGGGAGCGTTAATGTTTTCCGGTACCATAACACTATTTATTAGCGAGCAAATTTCTCTATAATGAGCGTATAGAAAATATCGCCGTTTAAAAGATCTAATTTGAGCGTTTTAGTATGTGAAAAAAATGTGTAAATGTGTATCATGTCTTTCTCTGTGTGAATGCAGGTACAACGGAAAGCATGATTGCTCTCGCAAGCATATACTTTGACATCCTAAGCATGTTCAGTCGAGTACGTCTCGTAGATAATAACTGTATAAATATCCAGCGATAATGTCGTATAAATAACAGCGATACACGCGAAACACGTGAAATCACTTGTGCATAATACTCACTGTTTGCTATTTCTCCGCGTGCTTCTATCGTTATGAAATCCCGTGAATGCGGAAGATGGGTCTATGTAGCAATTTTTCACCGCGAACGCGGGATGATGAATTCGTAAGCTAAAGTTCGCGATCGCGAGTGATTATCGCGAGCAATACACTCGAGAAGGAAACAAATCGATTCTGATACGAGAACCAAACGGGAGTGGGTGAATATCTCCGGCGCGAGACACCTGTCGACAAACTGAGGCCGCACCGTCATTGTGGGGGCCTTATATCGTCTCTTAGGTCCGCGTGTAACACCTTCCTCAACGTGTCGTAGGTTACACACCTTCCCCATCCGCTGCTTCCGCGGGCAAACCCATGCTTTTGCTTTTACTATCATCCCTGCAGAGGAGAAGCGTATAGAAGATGCTCCGCGGTCGTGAGTGACGATGCGGTTTTACCACTGAGTTATCGGGCTGCGAGACTCATAGACAGTGAATGTTTGTCAAGAATTTTTTTTACAACTGGGCATAATTATAACAGTGATATAGAAACTGTCCGCGTAAAGATACTTTTTATTTTCACAAATTTATTTGACAAGTGTAAGATCGGCAGGAAAAATTCTGTGTGGTGCTAAAAAGATTCTTAAATAATCTAGTTAAAAATATAGTTAGGTGGATCACAATCTTTACATGATAAATATAATGTATAAAAGTACAATGATAGCTAAAAATATGTAAAAAAGTGCTAATATTTTGCATTATTATTTCAAAAGCCGTGTTTTTCTTTGTGTCTTTAAAAAAATATTATATACATAGCGAATTTTCAAATTAATATATGTATATATAATAGCGAATATGTAAAAATGTATCGCGCTATTGTGCGATAATTGAGAATTAAGTTTGTTTTTATTATCATGACATAAACAAAACAAAAAGGATTGCAAAAAAGTGTAATATTTACATATTACACTTTATATTTACATATATTTATAAGCTTTATGATTCCATGATTATTAATAACGACATTTCACCTGTTGTTGCTGACAAATTCCGATCAAAATACACGATTGGAGGATGTTTATATACATATATATGTTAATTTCATATATTATTATTTTTGTAACTTTTATATATCCTCGAGAAAAAATTTCTTTATTCATACTGTCTACTCTATATTGATTGGGTTTTAACTGGCTCTATATTAAATGTTACTTGTTTCATATATAACCGGTTATTAATATAACTCAAGTATGAAGGATTTTTCCAGATTACTTTTTCCTTTTAATTGCATGTCGAAACTCAAATCTAGACAATATAATAACGTTGGTACATAACTGCACAAGACAGTATACGTTTCTATATATGTGTCTCTCTAATATCTATCTATACTTATCTACCTACCTAGCTATTATCTATTTACCTTGAAATATTAAAGATTGAAATACAGCTCTCGTGGATGCATATCCTATCGATAATATAATACTATACGTATTGTGAAAATTATATTTCTAGTTGTAACACATAATTTTTGAAGTTATTTAAACATCGTGCACATTATTTACGAGTAGACGTTTATGACTTAGAATGAGTAGTCGATATAAGCAATATTTCCATTGGAATTTCCAAATTGGAATAATTATCGATTGAATTTGTTTTTAATGACACTTGATATAATCCGCAAACTAAAAAATTATTTACATATTGATCTTTTAAATACGAAATCAATATTTGATTCAAAATTTTAAAGTTGCATAAAAGTAATAAAATAATTTAAAAATATTAATAAATTAGTTTCTCTTCCAAATGTTTCAAATAGAATGTACAAAATTACACATGTTTTATATTATACAAATGTATGTATACTCGTAATATAAATATAATTTCTAATTATTTTTATTTTAAACACAGCGGAAAACTGTGTTAATTTTTATACAGTTGAAGCGTCTATTTATATCGATTTAATCGATATTTTGTTTTGACTATCCAATTGATAAAAATTAATTTTATTTAAATATATATTTTTCTTTATATTTTGTATTTTTTATTATGTGCTTATTAACACTCGATTTCTGTGATTTTATTTATTCTGTCAAGCGCATACATGTATGCTTGATAAGAATAATTACCTTAATTATTTCAAAAACACAAGTTATATAATTGAGATGCGCATACATTTATTTCTAGAGTTTATAGGTTATTAAAGTCTTATATTTTATTCTTCGCAAGTGCCATTAATAATATTTTTTAAGGATTATATCAACGTACAATTTATCTTTTACGTGCCGACAATAAAAAGTATTTTGTGACATTGAATGTTTCTTATGATAATTTATATCTTGTGATAATAATTTTACAAGTACTTAATTATATGATTAAATGCAAATATAATTAAAATACATTTATGTGTAATAATTTTTGCTTTTATATTAGATTTTTCTTATGTTATATTATATATCAAACATGTAGGTAACAATTTCAATATTAAACCCTATTGTTAACATAAGCATTACACTATCGTATTATTATACGATTTAAGTATATTAGTATATGATTTAAATATAGTGACATCTTGCACGAATAAAATATAATTTGCTTTCTTTTGTTTTTTACTTTTCACACTCATTTGCTTTTTATTGCATACTTTAATTCTTAATATGTGTAAAAAGAAACTTTTATACGTAAAAATAATATAATATATGTAAAAATAAACTCGCATTTAGCATATATACTTTTGCACATTATTTAGCATATTTACTTTTTGCATGGTCATACAAAAATAATCATGAATACTTTACGTAGCACTGCTATGATTTATATTATCTTTATATATCCATGATCCGCATAATCGAAATAATTTACACAGTTAAGCCACAGATATAATGCTAGGCAACAGGCAATAGGAATAAGAAATATAAAATATCCATCAATAGACGCAGAGAACAATATCTGTTTTTTTTTCCGAATGGTTGATATTTTCTATTTTTTATTCCTATATTGCCTGTTGCCTGCCATTGTATCTGGGGCTTTATAACAATGAAAAATAATATATATATATATATATATATATATATATATATGTATACATAAATATGTGATATACATGAGGCATCTATTTACATTGATATGCAAGAATAACAGTTTATAGGTGTTTTGATCAAATTTATAAATATGTGATATACATATACACACACAAAGTTATATTTTTTTGTTAGCATAAATGTCTCGAAAATTTTGATTGTACACAAACTTGGAATGCATATTATGGGATAGATTTTTCTATCTTTTGTTTCACGTAAACAACTCATGTAATATAATTTTGTATTTTTCCACAGACTGTTGCTTGTGTATTAATTATTTTATCTCACGAAATCAAAGGTAATTTAAAAATAATCAATTTAAATGCGGAAGTTTGTTTTACAGTATAGGAAGAGAGATAAATTTCTGCTTCTTCTTTAACGCCTGAATGTTATTATTAACATTAACATTTATAAAATATGCGCGACATTACATATACCACTCTGCTTAATTACATTTTTTATTTCTTTACTTTTCTGCATTTATTTTAATACGCGCTTATTTATTACTTAAATTAATGTGCGTATTTAGTTACCTCGGTATATTTATAATATCGAATTTTTAAGTATTGATTAATAAGAAAATAATATATATATAAATGCAAAGATATGCAAAGGATTAAAAGAGAGGAGCTTGAGAAGGTCGCATCGTTTCTTGAAACCTTCATCGCACTTATGGATCAAAACATGATTTTTGTGTCGAATTAAATTAGTACTTTGAAGTGCGTGTTAGATAGAGTACGTCCGTGATGCAAACGATCATAAGCGACGTATCGATTAGAAATCGGCATTCAAGATGCGTGCAAGAGCCATCCGAGCGAACCACTCTGCAAGATCGAGACGCAATCGAGACAAGTGCCATTTATATAATTTACTACTATTCGCGATGCGCACAACGAACTTTGGCACTGGGTGGTCCTTATATGTAAGAGAGCGTGCACGCGAAATGCCAATGAGCACGAATGTCGAGTGCTTCTTCGAATCCGTATTCAAATTGCGTATATGACGGAAGCTGAAGAGTGCTACAAAATTATGTGAGATTTAGCGAGAGCAATTTATAACGGTATAAAGATAAGTATCTGCGGTAAGAAAATATTACGAGAGCTCTAGTAATGAATTTCGAAGTAAAAAATTTAGGTAAACGATAGTACAAGTTAGAATTCAAGTATTATCGGAATATGCATGATTTCTGTTTATTCTTCAACGAAAACATCTAGATTGTGAAGATATTTCTTCGAATATATAATCGCAAAGATAAATGTTTTTTTCTTTTTCTATTATCAATTTAAATTTATTCTATTAAGAACGCATCATTCGCACGTTCTTGCATTCCTCTTATTTGTTCGGAGCTGTTGAAATTAATGAAACACTCGTCATACGAAATTAATGCCGAAATGGATAAGGAAGTAACGTCGCATCCACATAGCATTTGCGGTAATGAATGAAGACTGTAGATAAAGGAGACAAAGGCTGAACCTAACTTGCAAAGAAAATTTTGCGTTGGTGTTACTACCAAGATGACCTTGGCCGTGCCATTCCGCGACTTGTTAATTGCCATACCACGAGTGATTATTGTTCGGAATTAAAATTCGCGCGGCACGAGGATGACGGGTGCGCACATTCGAGTTTTAAGACACTGTTTGCACGCAAAAGGTGTACACGCACGTTTTGCTATACGTTGATGTGTGCTGTTTACTTCGCGTAACCTGAGCCAACAACCCGTGTAATCTAACTGAAATGATATTCGTCTTGTGTTATATTTCTTTCTTTCATCTTTTGGACTATATATTTGCTCCTTGCAATATTGTTCCTTCCTTTTATTTTGAAATTAGTGTAACTGTATTGTTTGATAAAAAGAGAGTACAATTTATATATTAATTTTGACTATAAATATAAAATAGAAGTCGAATAATGATTTGATAACAAAACAAATTTTTATGTATTATTAGACAAGAATTATAATGTCAAAATGCAGTTATTAAAAATGGAAATATATTACGACTAATGTTATCTTTTGTAATGTTTCAATGAGACATTCCAGAGATATAATTGTTTATATTTTTTATTATTTCTAGTAAAGATATTTGTGAGAATAGTAATTAAGCGATGAAATTTAAATTAATTTAAATTAATTTAAATTATAATTTTGTTATTATCATAAGTAACATTTTGAATTAATTGAAATAGCGGAAGATGCTAGTTT